TGCACCAGGCCTCTAGTTTATAATAAAGTGTTTACAATGTGCCAGGCACCCTTCACCTGCTTTCCATGTATTAATTCATTCCATCCCTACATCGTCTCTTTGAGGTACTATCATTGTCCATTTCATAGACTCCAAGGAGTTCCATCCTGTGCATCCAAGGTCATGCATCTTGCAGAGCAGAGTAGGGATGTGGGCCCAGGCAGTCTGGCTCCAGAATCCACCCTTTTAAACACTATGTGGTTTTCAGTCTTCTGATCTCACTGTACAGTGAGTCTCCGCACTGTAAGATGGGGAATTGGAGGCCCAGAGAGGCACAGTATCACAGAGCAGTAGAATCAGGCTCCATCCCCAGCCGTGGGGCTTCAGCATAGCACTTGCTTGCTCTCACCCCCAGTGCTGCGCCCACCCCCCACCCCCCCACTCAGGGCCTCTCCCTCCAGCTCCAACACTGGCGCCTAAGGTGTCTCTGTGGAGTCAGTGCTGGCTCAGGGAGCAGAGCCCTGCCTGATTGATGACCTGGCTCCAGAACCCATCGCTCACTCTCAGGCCAGGCCACTGCCTGCCTCCCTGCATCCTGATTTCCCAGGCAACAGGAAGGAGGGAGGAAGGAGGTGGCAATTTTTGCTGCTGGAAAAGGTGGGGGGTGGGAGGTTCTGAGAGGAAAGGCGGGTCCCTACACACCAGGCTAATCTCTAGGAAGGTCACCCTTGTACTCAGAGAGCTCCCCCACCACGCAACTGAGGTGCCTGCAGCCCCACCATGGCAATTTCTCTTTGCTGTCAGGCGGCGATTTTCAGCCTTTTTCATCTCATGGCACACATAAACTAATTACTAAAATTCTGCGGCGTACCACACAACATATTATAATTTTTGCCGATCTGACAAAAAGATAGGTATGATCTTGATTCGTTCACACTGGATGGTTATTGTTGTGTTGGCTCTTGTCATTTTTTTCTTTGACAATCTAAGGGGAAAGAGGTCAGTGCCCCTGACTAAATAGTCAGGTATTGCCGGTGTTAAAAATTCTTGCGGCACAGCGACTGAAAACCGCTACTGTGAGGCATTGTCTTTAGAAGGCCAGAGCCAACACAGCCCCGGAGCTCATTCATCAGAGGGTCACCCATCAGCACTCCCGATGAGAAGCGGGGCTCAGTGTGGGCTTAGCCAGCTCTCTGGGAAAGCTCTAAGGCAGCCTGGCTTAGCCGGCTCAACTCGCATTAGCTGCTGCCGCCTATGTACCAGGGAATATGGCCTCTAATCCTCCCACCTGGGGCCCAGAGCAGCCAAATAGATGCCCACAAACACACAGCTGGGCAGCAGCAGAGCCACCACCCTTTCCTCTTGTGGGGTAAGGACTTGGGAGCCGCACTGCCTGGGTTTGAATCTAGCCTCCGCCAATGACTGCCTAAGTGATCTTGGGCAAGTTACAGACTTCTAGACCTCAGTTTCTTCATGTGTGAAATGAGATAACAATACAAGCCTCGAGGGGTGTTGTAAAATTAGATAAGTTAATATGTTTAAAGCCCTGGCACACAGTAGGCGCTTTGTAAATTAAGAAATGAAATGTCCCAACATACTGTGCTGAGTAGTGAAAGTCAGGATGTTAGTACGGTTTAGCCCTGAGTGTCTGTGTCCCAAGGCAAGAGGGTCCTGCAGGGACCTGTAACCAGAGAGCAGTGGGTCTGCACATGGCCTGGGGCCAGCCCTCCCTCTGGGTCCACCTCGGGAGTGGGGGGTGGGGGGGTCAGTCAGGGCCCCAGGGGACCCCGCCCCCTCACTGGCCCACTGCTTCCTCCTCCAGCGCCTGGACTTCGAGTCCCAGCCGGTGCACACGGTGGTCCTGGAGGCCCTCAACAAGTTCGTGGACCCCCGCTTCGCTGACCTGGGCACATTCCGCGACCAGGCGATTGTGCGCGTGACGGTGACCGACGTGGACGAGCCCCCCGAGTTCCGGCCGCCCTCCGGCCTCCTGGAGGTGCAGGAGGACGCGCAGGTGGGCTCCCTGGTCGGCGTGGTGACTGCGCGGGACCCCGACGCCGCCAACCGGCCCGTCCGGTGAGACCCCCGCCCGGGGCCACGCCTGCTGCCTGCTCTCCAGCTACCGCCCCTGCACTCGTGTGGGCCGAGCGGGAGGGGGCCGGGTCGGGAGGGAAGGAGGAGATGCTGGATGGGGGGAGGGGAGAGAGAGAGGGCACAGCTGGAGTTCTGAGACAAAGGAAGCCCCTGTGAGGTCGGTCACAGATAGGCCAGGGACTCAGGGCCAAGTGGAGGTGCCCCTGACTCCCAGCTCCACTGTCTTGCCCCAGCTCTCCCTCTCCACTGCTCCCTGGATCCCCCCTAGACACCTCAGACTCCCGTTTGGAACTGAGCTCTCAGCTGCTCCCGGAAAAACAAACAAACAACAACAAAAAACCCACTCCTTTCTTCCAGTTCCATCAAAAAATGTTGGCGACATCCTCAACTCCCGTCTTTCTCACCGCCCTCCAAGCCATCAGCCGACTCTGTCATCTCCCCTTTAAACACATCCAGAATCTGACTGCTTCTCACCCCCTCCCGCCGCCCCTGAGCCTGGCTCCTCTTCCTCTCGCCAGGATTGTCACAGTTGCCCTTGGGTCTCCCTGCTCCTGCCCTCACCCCTCTGGAACCTAGAATCGGCACAGGGCCAGGTTGAAACAGCTCAAATGTAAATCAGAGCATGGCCCTCCTCTGCCCCACGCCCTCACCTCTCTGGCTCAGAATAAGAACAAGCCCTGACAATGACCTCCAGACCCTGTGAGCTGTGGCCTCGCGGTAAACCTCTCAGACACCCCCACACACACAGCCCTCCTTCCTGCTCGCAGGCTCCAAGGTACACCAAGCTCACCTCTGCCTCAGGGCCTTTGCCGCTGCTGATCCCCCGCCCGAATGTTTTCACCTGAACACGGCCAGGACTTGTCCTCTCACTTCCTCCAGGTCTCTGCTCAAGCGCGAGGCCTCCTCAGTGAAGCCTCCCCTGACACCCTTTTTACAGTGTCAGCCCTACCTCATCCCCAGCCCCAACCCTTCAGATCGCCTTTCCTCTTTCCCATGGTCCTCGTTCGCCTTCACCATCTAACACACCGCCTGTTCTCTAATGACTTTGTTTGTCTCTCCCATGGAAAGATACGCTCCATGAGGGTGAGGACTTATGCCTGTGTGTTCACCACTGTATCCTCGGGGTTTGGCCCGATGCCCAGCACTCAGTGGACACACACTGAATGTGTGGTGAGTGGGTGAAATGTGAAAAGAGACGGACTGAGGAAAGAGACAGAGAGAGAGAGACACTCGTGGAGATGTGGGAAGGCGAACAATGAGAGGAAGAGATGTGAGAGAGAGGAGAGCCAGTAGAACGAGGACAAGAGTAGCTAAGAGAGACATGGACCTCCCTGGCAAGATAGAGACAGACACAGGTAGAGAGAGGGGCAGAGCCGGGATGGAGACAGGAGGGTAGAGGGGAGGGGAGACGGGGTTGGGGAACCCCTGACGGTGGCTTTGGTTGGAAGAGGTCGGATAGAATAGAAAGGGAAAAGGGTTGTAGAAGAACCTGATCCAGTGGGGGAGGTCAAGGGTGGAGGGGATGGCTACCATTGCACAGATGAGAAGGAGTTCCTGGAGCCCCCTGCGTCCCCGCTACACCCCCTGTACATCGTCAGTGAATGACCTCTGAGCCCACCGTATGCCCAGCTCTGTGCTGAGCACTGGAGAGAGAGGGGAGGGAAGTTAGTCTGACAGGAATCCAGATGGGTGACAAGCCCTCGTCATCTGTGTGACGGCTGTGTCTTGGAGATGGAAGTGCACACGCAACCTGTGCAACCTTATGTGGCAGCCCCAGGTGAGGACACAGACACCATCCTACTAGCTGCCCAGCGGCTCCCAGACCGGGTGATACCCTCCGGGCTCGGGAGCCAAGTCCTAGAGGCGACAGGAATGGAGCTGGGCTGAGTACCTGGGTCTGGTCAGATGTAAACATGAGGGACGAGCATTCCAGCAGAGGAACGGCATGTGCAGACGTACGGAGGCAGAGGAGTGGTTGTGTGCCTGGGAAGAGCGGGCTGTGATAGCTACAGTGGCCTGAGGAGTGAGCAGCCAAGGTAAAATCTGACGGGCCTCCAGGGCAGGCTGAGGAGCTCAGACTCTGTCCCTGGGCTGGCTGTACCCTTCTTGTGGCCACAGCTGTCCTGCCTTTGAACTCCTCCACCGCCCTTCCACCCAGGCTGTTGGCACAGTCTTTCAACCTCCCCCTCAGCCTCTGGCTGGGCCCCAGACCTTGGGGCAGGTGGGAGGGCATTCTCACCATTTGCCAGGAAACTGAGGCCCAGAGAGAGGAGGAGGCTTCCCTGGGCTCTCACAGTGAGGTAAGAGCCAGGAGTAGGAGCCGACTCCTTGCCTCCCAGGTCAGTGCTCCCGCCCACCTGCTCCCCTCCTCTCCAATATCGCTCTCTGTACCCCTTCAGTCATCTCCCTCCTCCGCCCCTCCCTTCCCGCCTGCTTTTATCAGCACTGAAAGGGCCAACTTTGAAACCTTCTTTCATCTCTCCTTCTGGCCCCTTCCCTGGGGCTCCTCAGATGTGGAGGCGGTGAGAACCTTGAGACAGGTCCAATTTAACACCACAAACATTTACCCAACTCCTCCTCCGTGCCAGGCCCTGAGCCAGGCCTGGGGACACCACCGAGATGACTCAGCCAAGGGCAGAGCTGGAGAAGGGTGCCTAGTCTGTAGAGACAAACATAGAAAAGGAAGCCAGTGAGAGGCTAGGGAGACAGAGACGGGTCCTCAGAGGCCACACGTGCTCCCGAGGGCCTGGCTTATGTCCCAGCTCCCTAGTTCCTAGGGTCATGGATTCAGCCAACACCTATGAATTGAGTCGTGTCCAGCATTGTTCCAGGAAATGCAGAAATGGTGATGACCCTATCCCTGACCACATGGGCTTTGCCTTCTCCTGAGGGGAGACAGTCAACAAGTGATACATGGGATCATCTACATATATAAAAGCCTAAGTGACTGTTACAACTGGTCGATCGGTAGCTATGATGATGCACTGACCACCAGGGGACAGACACTCAACACAGGAGCTCTCCCCTGATAGTCAGTGAGCTCCCACAGCCAACCTCCCGTGCTCCGCCCCCCCTTCGGCAGGCCCCAATAGGCCCCAATCGCTGGCCAGGCCGAGGGACCTCACCTGTACACGAATTCATGCACCGGGCCTCTAGTTGCTTATAAGAGCTATGAAGGAAATAGAGTCGTAGGATAGGGGGTTTGCAGGCCACAGGGAGCTATTTGGATTGACCTATCAAGGAGTTGATAAATGAGCTGAGATTATATGGTAAAGAGAGCCAACCATGCAAAGACGTGGGGAAGTGCAGGTGCAAAGGTCCTGAGGCAGGAACAAGCATCGTGTGTTCCTGGAAATGAAGGCATGAAGTGGTATCCTGGGAGGTTTGGCCTTGCACAGTAGGCGCCTGGGAAATACAGAACTGCATGTACAGGATGGTTTTTCTGAGTCCCGGCGCGGGGGAGATGGAAGGTGCCACACAGGGTTGCATCTGTGCTTCAGAATCTATTTTACTCGTTTTACAGATGAAGAAACTGAAGGTCAGAGAGGAGAAGTGACTCATCCAGTGTCACTCATCCTGAAAGGGAAAGGAATGGGCTTTAACCCATGATTGTCCCTTCTTGAGTCCATCCTCCTGCCGTATCGCCCCTGCTGTTACTCTCTCTCTGTGGTTAACGCAGTGGCCAAACTTGTGCCGTGCCTTCCCCAGTGCATGAGGCACAGAGATGAGTCAGACATGGGTCAACGGAAAGACTAGGCTGCCATGTATATGAATCTGGTGACAGATCTAAGTCTGAGTGGGTTTGGGCTGAGACAGGGGCGTGAGGACTAAAGAGTTTCAGGGAGGGGCGAGTTCTCTCTCATCAAGGAGAGACGTGAACACAGGCTTCCCCCAGGTGGCCTCACAGGGCCAGAAAGGATGAAGTGGAATAGGAAGGGGGCACCCCGGGGTGGAGTGATGGTGAGGGCCAGGGGGTAGGAGCAGAATCATGGAGCCAGGAGGTTACGTTCAGGAGCAGGAAGATCAGCTAGATGAGCTCACATGAGAGGGGTTGGGGGATGAGGACAGGGATAGGCTGTGAAGGACCTTGATGTCAGGTGAGGGAGTGGGGTTTGATCCCTCGGCAGTGGGCAGCCTTGGATAAAGCTCTCGAGGGAGGAAGGAAAGTGTTCCGATGGGCCCAACTCTGGAAGAGGCAGCCATGTGAGTCTCCTTTGAACATCAGAAACAGGAAAGCCCACCCCGGACCCGAGGGAGAGAACCCTAATGTGCTCCAGCACTCCACAGTGGGTGCGGCAGAACGGGCGTGGGCTTTGGGATCACGAAGATCTGGTCTGAATCCCAGTTCAGTTGTAGAGTCCTGGGGAAATCCCTGCCCCGCTCCCAGCCTGTTTTCCCATCTCTAAGACGGGCATCGTGATCGTACCTGCCTCATTCATTTGCTCAAAGAATGGGCATGTAGTGTCTACTAGGCTCCAGGTTCTGTGCTTGGTGCTCCCAGGGCCGGAGGGAGGATTACGGGTTTGGATATTACCATTTTCCTTGGTGGTCTGGACACTGTTTCTCCCCTTCGTTCTGCGACCAGTACTAACCACATACAAATGTCTAGGCATCGTGTGTAGGCTTTGAAGTGTGCCTTAAGGGTGATGGGGAAGAGGGAAAGAGTCGCAGGCAGGAGGGAGTGAGCAGAGAGAAATCCCTGGATTTGGGGAGGCAGCCCTTTCATAGCTAAAGGGTGCCCCCCGCTTGTAGCTCAGGTAGGGTCTGCATTGTTCAGCCTGCTGCGTGTGTGTGTACATGAGCCCACACACAGGAGCACCAGGAAGGCTGTACACAGCAGAACCTGCAGACTTTCATGTTTATTATGCCTGTGTGCACTGTCTGTCTATGCACATATGTATGTGGTGTCCATGCCCGCCCGCGCGCACCCCAGACAGGGAGCAGTACCCTCCCCACCCTACCCTGGGCAGCCTGTGTGGCATGTGGGCGCTGGCAGGTGTACCTGGGTGGCCCTAAGGAGGGTCTCCTAGACCTGCGGCTCTGGACAGACGTGGCCGAGGAACTCGACTCTGCCACTAACCAGCCCTTTTGCCCCAGGGCTAGAAACCTGGCTTCTCTGAGCCTCAGTTTCCTCATCTGTAGAATGGGGTGAGAGTGCCTGGGAGGATTTGAGGAGCTTAACGCATAAAGCCTTTACACAGGCCTGGCACAAAGTCTTGCTTGGCAAATAAAAGGAAGAGCCCGTTGGTACATGACATGGCAGGTGCCCACTGCTGTTATGTGTTTTATTGGTAGTCACTTGTCTGATCTCACAACCAGCCTGTGAAGTGGGTACCATCATCACTATCACCGTCTCCATTTTTAAGAGGAGGAAACTGAAGAAGAGAGAGATTAAATGACTTGCCCAAAGTCACACAGCCAGGTTTCAAACCCAGGCAGGTGGGCGCCAGATCTGCACTCCTGCCCACCCCTCACCCCCCAGGCCTCCCTTGCACACGTGTGGGCACGCGCTCACTAGCTGACATGCCATGTTCTCTCACTGCACTCTCCCACCCCCGCCTGCTCTGGTCCCCCTTCCTGCTTTCCAGGTCCTGGCTGACCGATGAGAAGCAGGATAGTGAGATTTGAACAGAATCTTATAGACCAGTGGTCAGCAAACTGCGGCCCCTTGAGTGTGGCTCTTCCACAAAATACCACGTGCGGGCGTGCACATACAGTGCGATTGAAACTTCGTGGCCACACTCAAGGGGCCAAAGAGCCGCATGTGGCTCGAGAGCCGCAGTTTGCCGACCACTGTTCTAGACCCACGGGGGCCTCCTATCTTCTCAGGCCACTTGGCAATCCTCCAACGTCCATACATGGCTCCTCCCATTCCCAAGCACGCAGACCACACACTGGTTGGAGGGACTTCTGTGTACCCCTCGCCAGGCATTTCTGAATAAAAATTAGAATAACAATAATTCTCGCCCACGAAGTAATTTTCCTGGAACTCCAGCTCGATATTTACTCCTCCCAACTGGCCAGGTAGGATTATCATCTTTATTTTATTTTTATTTTTTTTAAATATATTTTATTGATTTTTCACAGAGAGGAAGGGAGAGAGATAGAGAGAGTTAGAAAGATCGATGAGAGAGAAACATCGATCAGCTGCATCTTGCACATCCCCCACCAGGGATGTGCCCGCAACCCAGGTACATGCCCTTGACCGGAATCGAACCCGGGACCCTTCAGTCCGCAGGCCGACGCTCTATCCACTGAGCCAAACCGGTTTCGGCTATCATCTTTATTTTGCTGAAAATTAGGCTCAAAGAAGGAAGTGACTTACCTGGGTCAACCTGGGCCTGGATCCAGACTCAGGGCTGAGCAGCTGCCTCTTAAACCTTTGCTCTTCCGACTGTAACACAGTATCTCACACACACAGACACGCACACCACTCACCTAGTCAAGCCAAACACACTTTCCACCCACCACGCAGACCAGACACACAACTCATGCCCCTGCACGTGTGGCACACAAGCCTCTGCCCACCCCACGCTGCCCCCACGCTTGTCAGGCCACACTCCTTGCCACATGCCGTGCCCATCCCCCTACCCTCCCACTCACTGGCTGGCTCCCTGAGCTGGAACAAAACCACCTGGGCTCAGCCAACCACAGTGACCTGCAGCCCCAAGTCCTTAGCTGGTTAATAGCGGCCCCTCCCCCTTGGCCTTGGGAACAGCTGCCTCCACTTAGATTCCAGGCCCCCCTTCCTCTCTGGGAAGGAACAAAAGAGAAAAGCTGGAGGGGAGGAGGATTGGAGGAGGGAAAGGAGAGGAGCGAGTGAGCAGAAAGGAGGGATGAGGAGAAGCAATAGGAGGCAGTGGGCAACCTCCCACAAGCCCTGCCTCATGCCCAACCCCGATCCCCTCATCAGGAGCCCCAGGTTGTGTCACTCCCCTGGACTCCATTCTCCTGCCTGAAAATTCAGGAGGAGGTCTCCATAGTCCCTTCCAGCTGAGCTGACACTCAGAGGCTGCTTCTACCTTCTTTGGATGCAGACATCTGACAGGGCCGGGCTGGGGGCAAAGGGGACCTGAGGCTCCACGTGCTGCCGCTGTGGATGGGTCAACAGCTAGAAAGAACTCTGGTCTAGAGTCCCAAATGCGGGTACGAATCCCAGTTCTGTGACAGTCCCTGTGCAACCTTGGACAGGGTCATCACTGGCCCATATGGCACTCTTGAGAAGATGCTCCCTGGGCGAGGACACACGACTTGGCAAGCAGGACACTGGCTGGACTTCACCCCCACTTCCCCCTTCAGCCTGGCACCTTTGTCAGGACACACTGGCGGTCTTACACTTGGCAGGTGTCCTCTCTGAGCCTCAGTGTCTTCATCTGCAAAACAGGGAGATGCTATCAGCCTTACGGGATGCCAGGCACGACCTCATTTGTCTCGTTTGCCCCTTTATTCCCAGGACCTAAAACAGAGCAGCACAGAGAAGGCACTCCGTTAATGGCTGGGCGTACAGGAATGAATGGAGGGCTGGCTAGAGGAAAAGCAAGCTGCAAACTATTTGAACCTTCCCACACACAATCACCCACAGGACCGAGGCTGGTCAGGGGCAAGGCCGGTGTTGGCTTAGCAGTTTAGGGTTAAGAAAAGGCACTAAATGGGACTCAGGAGACGGGCTGCACTGCCCACTATGGCCGTGTGCACAGCCCTTGCCGTTCCCCACAGCCTTCAGCTCCACGACCACAGTAACTATGAAAAGAATAGCGCTGGCCGGTGTGGCTCCGTTGGTTGGAGCATCGTCACATATAAGTGATGAAAGGTTGCTGGTTCGACTCCCAGTCAGGACATGTACCTAGGTTGCAGGTTCGCCCCCTGGTTGGGGCACAGTACGGAAGGCAACTAATCTATGTGTCTTCTCTCTCTCTCTCTCTCTCTCTCTCTCTCTCTCCCCCCCCTACCCCTCTCTCTAAAAATTAAGCATATCCTCAGGTGAGGATTAATTAATTTTTTTTAATAAGAAGGGCTGTCACCTATGCCCAGATCTGTGAATCACCTCCTACAGTCCACACCAGTGGCAGGTATTAATCACACCCTTCCCCAGGTAAGCACACAGAGGCCACGGAGGCCCAGTGACTTGTCCAAGGTCACACAGACAGAATAAGTAGCAGTGGACTCCTCTCAGACCTGTGCAGTCCCACTGGGTGTCATCATCCCCGTTCAGCAGACGAGGAAACGGAGGCCCATAGAAGTTTGGTAATGCAGCCAAGGCCCCATTGAAGGGTCATGTCAGGGCTTTGGGCTCCCAGCAGGGGTGTTTCTGGTGGTCTTGCCCACTCTGGGAGGTGGGGAAAGGGCCCCTCTTCTCCTGCTGGGAGGCGGGGGGGGCAGGGGCAGAGCCTCAGGCTGAACCCTGCCCACCAGGCGGCTTTGTCCTGCCGCACAAAGAGCCCTTGCTTGGCATTCGAGGCCTTTGTGGGCCACGCAGCCTGGCGGCACCCGCCTGCGTTATCAGCTCAGGAAGCGTCAGCCAGCGCTGGCGGGGCCTCTCTGGGCTGCCGCCCGAGACATGTGTTGGACACGGGCCTTTCAGGCCTGGAGCCGCCACACAAAGGCCCGGGAAGAAGGCAGAACAAAGGGCTTTTTCACTGGGCAGCTGAAAGCCGCAGATTAGTTCCTGCATGCTGTGCAGGCAGGGCGGGAGGGGGCAGCCAGCCGGCTCCTCCCCGAGACCCACTAGATGCAGCATCACTCGCCCAAGTCCCTGATCGGGGGCTTCCACGCCCAGGCAGCCAGAGAGAGCCTCGTGACCCAGAGCCCACCCCTTTTCCCTGCTCAGAATTCCTCCTGGCCCCCCGTCCCTGTCCAACCTCTGAATCCTGTGGCCTGCGTGTTCTGGTGCCTAACTCTCCCCTTCCCTGTTCTAACCGTTTTGCATCATTTTCCCTTTCCTGAATAATTCTCACCACCTACCTTTGCACCCTCTGTTCCCCCTGCCCCATAAACAGCTTCCCCCTTCTCAGGCCCAATTCCAGGATCACTGCTTAAAGAAACATAAGAATCGTATATCCAGCGAGTGTTAACTCCCTTCAGTGACTCTGCCTACTTCCAGCCCTTGAAACAGCCGTTAGCCCAGTTACCCAATGAAGAGACTGAGGCTCAGAAACGCTGAGGCTGCCAGTGGGCACACAGCAGGCACCCAGTGCAGCTGAGATGCAAACCCAGAACCTTTCCACCCTCCTCTGGTGGAAAGGCTTGCTCTGCTCCTTGTGCCTCCCACGCAGGTGTCCTTCTTGGCGATAGGGCAGGGCAGGGCGAGGGACATGGCGCGGGTTCCATCTGGTGCCGGCGCACCTCAGTCAGCCCCGCCCTGCCTCCATCAGGTATGCCATTGACCGAGACTCGGATTTGGACCAGATCTTTGACATCGATGCGGACACAGGTGCCATCGTGACGGGCAAGGGACTGGACCGTGAGACTGCCGGCTGGCACAACATCACGGTGCTGGCCATGGAGGGGGCAGGATGGAGAGAAGGGTGAGGGCTGGGGGGCAGGGTGAGGCGGGGCAAAGAGGAAGAACCCTGCAAAGATGGCAGAGTGGGAGGAAGGCAAAAGTCAGTGGGCAGGCCCAGCCGCTGTGGCTCAGTTGTTGAGTGTTGACGTATGAACCAGGAGGTCATGGTTTGATTCCCAGTCAGGTCACATGCTCCGGTTGCAGGCTCAATGCCCAGTAGGGGGCGTGCAGGAGATAACAATTAATGACTCTCATCATTGATGTTTCTCTCCCTTTCCTTTCCTCTCTGAAATCAATAAAAATATATATTTTTAAAAGGCAATGGGCAGGAACAGAGAAATGTGGGAAGGATCCAGGCCAAAATAGCAGGGCCAGTCTTGAGGCTGGTTTCTTCCCTCAGCATTTATTGAGCACCCACTGCGTACCAAGTCCTGTGTTACAGGCTGAGGATACAGCCCTGAACAAGACAGACAGGCTTCTGTCTTCCTGGGGGAAGCGAGCCTGTGAACAAATGGAGAGAAAAGGTGGACATCGAGTCAAGGGAGAGAAGAGAGCAGGGGAAGGCGGGGGGTCGGGGGTTGTTTCTCTTAAGAGAAGGCCTCTCTGGGAAAGAGGCATTTCAACAGAGACCTCAGTAAACTGAGGAGTCATGCTGATATCTAAGCGAAGAGTGTTCCGGCAGGAGGAACAGCCAGTGCAAACCCTCTGAGGTGGCAGTTTGCTTGGCCTGTTGCAGGGTCAGCAAGGAGGCCAGTGTGTAGTGAGGGGCAGAGTGGTCAGTCATTGTAGGGTCTTCGGCCTTTACTCCAAGTGAGGTGGGAGTTGGTGGGGAGAGTTAAGCAGAGAAGGCCGAAGTCTGACAGGGTGCCTCTGGCTGCTGCATTGAGAATGGAAAGCAGGGATCCGCTAGCCAAATGCCAGGGTGCAAGGAGGACACGCCAGTGGCCTGGCCCAGGGCAGGAGCTATGGAGGAGGGAAGAAGTGGTCAGCTTTCAGAGACAGGATGAAGGGAGAGCCAGCAGGACCTGCCGAGGATGGTGTGGAACTAAGAGATGGAGAGAGGTCACGGAGGGCTCCCAGGTGCTTGGCCTGAGTTTCCAGAAGAGGAAAGAGTGTGTGTGTGTGTGTGTGTGTGTGTGTGTGTGTGTCACAGGCACACTTTGGTGCCGCTGGGAAGGAGTGTGAACTGGGAGAGAAAGGCGGGGGAGTCCTGAGACATGGGGTCCAGATAAGTAAGGCCATTGAGGTGAGGAGCTAAGAGCAGAGGGATTCACGGAGCCGCAGGAGAGGGGAGAGGGCAGCTGCAGGCCTCCGCCATAGCCACACGAGGCTGCCCAGACCTGCTCTCCAAGCTCCCACACCCTGGCAGCTGTCAAGGTCTCAGAAGCCAGCAGAGCCGCCAGTCAGCAATCATGACAACAGGAGTCCTCGGTCTCTGAGCCTCAGGCGGCCGATTTTCAAACTCCCCTCCGCACCTCCTAGGCCCCAAGCCCCTCCTGGCCCTGTGAGCCTCCTGCCTTCTCCTCCTTCCGCAGCTGCCCTCCCACTTTGCAGGCCCCACCAGCCATCCCAGGGCTGGGGCCGAGGAAGTCCCTAGGCTGAAGTTCCCTTCGTCTCTTTCAACTTCAGTTTAAAAGAAAATACAAAGCTGGCTCAAACCTCAGTGCCTGCTGCTCCCAAGCCTTTGAATCCACTCTGCCACCACATGAAAGGCCAGTAACAAAGGTGGCTGGAGAGGAAGTGGCGGCTGGGCTGGGGAGAAGACAGCTCCCCCCCTTGCCTCCCTGAACTGCTCCCTGGGCAGCCAGGGGGACTGGCCAGGCTGCTGGACAGAGATGCCTCCTCTCCCTCCCACAAACATCTCCTCCAGCAGCCGTCACACCACCTGATGGCCCACCCACCACAGCACAGCACAGCCGCTCCTGGGGAAAGTGGGTCCCTGTCAGAGAGCAGCTAGAGCAGCATAGAAAAGCCGCATCGCTGCCGTTCCACCGGCGGAAGAATGTGGGGGACTCTCCCCCATAAACATTTACAGTGTTTACCTAATGCACATTCAGGGCTAGTCGCTTTCTAGCAATTACTTTTCTCGAATCATAATCAGTAACAGATCAGCACCCGTTTTACTGTTGGGAAAATTGAGGCTCCGAAAGTTAGGAGACGTGCCCAAAGATGTGCAGTGACAGAGCTGGGATTTGGACCAAGTCTACCCGGCTCCCAACACAGTATTGCTGTGTGGGCCCCCTTCCCCTGGTACTCGCTGCTCTCTGCGCCCACCCCTGTCCCACCCACCAGTCCCCAACTACTGACCATGGGGAAGGGGAAGACTGGTCACTGGGCTAGAGACACCCCCACCTCTGAGTTGTATTCCATAACCCCTGCCCAGCCCTCACCAGGATACTCATCAGTGGGGAAAGGAATGGCTCCCACTGCACAGTGCGGGTGGGGGATTAAGTAGGAAAATGCAAGGAGAGAACTTAGCCCAGTACTTACTAAGTGCTCAGTTAGTGGGACCTATCGATCTTGACTATGCACGTCACTTACGCACTGACTCTGTGCCAGGCACTGTACAGTGACGTGCTCACTGAATCTTCCCCCTAAGAGGTGTCGAGTCTGCTGTATCCCCAGTGTGTGGACGGGGACACTGAGGCTCAGAGAGGTGAAGCCATTGGTCCAAATCTCCAGCCCCAGCCAGTCTGACTCCAGAGCCCAGCTCTCACCCACTGCCCCTCAAGTCCTAATTCCTTGGTGCCCGGCAGAGGTTCCTGGGGGAACAGCCATGGCCCCAAGGTCACAGAGCAAGTCCATGTGGGGCCAGGGCTCCCCCCAGGCCTGTGCTGGCAGCCTGCGGGAGCCCCCGTGCAGTGCCGAGGGGCCTGCCCTCCTGCGCCGCGGGCGAAGCATCCATTTGACTTCCACAGAAGCAGGGGATGCTCAGGGGTCACCATGCCCCGCCTGCTCTGGGTGCAACAAACATAAGGTGACAAGAATCAGAGGGGAAATATTTATACACAGCGGCCGAGCTGCACGAGCCCCTTGGAGAGCAGCGTGGGAGGGTGGGAGCGCGCCTGTCACACTGGATTACCTCCAGACTCCCAGGCCACTTAGTATGCTGTCTCCCCTCTCCATTCCGCCCATGCCGACGCTCCTTCCCTGACATTATCTTTAACGTTTTGTAATCATGAAATATTAATGACCGATATTGAATTTAAAGTACAATTTGTGTCTGAATCCTTCGGTGGAAAGGGCAGTTGTAAAGGGACAGCCTTCAAAGAGAGGGGGCTGGGGTGCTGGGGGCTGCATCCGGCTCCCTCCTCCAGGGTCGGCAGGCCCTAGGCTGGTCTGGAGGGCAGGCATCCGTGCCCAGGAGAGCCAAGCCTTCATCATTAGCCAGACGCTTCCCCGTCCGAGTCACCCCAAGCCCAGTGGCATCTTACGGCACCCGGTTTTCCCTTTACACCAGAGCGTGTGTTGTGATTTCTAATGTGCTCTCGGGAGTATTCAGTCAGTCTCTCTTCCCCAGGAAACAATGCCTTCTCCCAGGGCAGGGTCTCGTCTGTGTCTCAGCAGTCACACCAGGCCAGGCAGGTAGTAGCCGCGTGTAAATGTTTAATGAATGAATGGCTAAATGGGCGCGCCCACCAGTTAGGACATGATGGAGAGGATCTGGCTCCGCTGCTTGCTTCCAGCTGTGAGTTTGGGCAGGTCACACCCCTCTCGTTGCCTTCGTTTTCTCATCTATAAAATGGTACCGCATTGGATAACTATCAGCGATCGCCGTTTCTATTTATTTGAGGCTTACGATATGCCAGCCGGCATGCTGTAAGCTTTATCATGCCGAGTGCTTTATATAAAACATCTCGTGTCGTGTGCATTAGATTCACGCACGGAAGGCGCCTAGCACAGCTCCTGACTCACAACAGGTGCTTTCACGGCCAGAGAACGAGTCTGAGGGGAGAGGGATGTTGGAGATGGTGGTTTCCAGCCTCCTCACCCCCAGCCCATTTCATTGCTGGGGAGACTGAGCCCAAGGAAGGGAAGCAACTTGCCCAAATCCACCGATGAGGTGGCTTTCTGACTCCCAGGCCCGTGCTCCTTAGGAGGACGAGAGAGGGGTGCCTGCAGGGGCTGGAGGAAGGACCGGGGATGGGGTGAGGGGTTGCAGTGGTTTGAGGGGGCAGAGAGCACTTCTCCTCCAGGGGTAACCCTCCCACACCATGTTTCCCTCAACCAGCGTTCTCTCAGGGCCCCTCACCCACCTGCCCAGGGCTGGGCACTGAGACTTGGGGGGTACACAGGGCCACTGACCTGGGGAGCTCACAGTGGGCAGGGGAGAGACATGTCAACAGTGAGTGGAGTCAGGGGGCAGTGGGCACTCGGGAGGAGCGGGGAGGGTGCCCAGCCAGAGGGAAAGAGGCAGGAAAGCTTTCGCGGAGGAGCGGACGTCTGAGCTGGGTCTCCAAAGCCAAAGAAGCCTTTCTGAGCGGAAAGGGGGCTCGGGTGCTCCCAACACAGAGGCCCTGTGTGCACAGGCCTGGAGGCCTGCTGAGAAGGAGCACACGGGGCGTCCGAGGCTGGGCTGGGAGAGGCTGGCGCAGGCGGGCGAGGGAGCACGCAGAAGTCACTGATGTCCTGTGAGCATCGGTGGGGGTCTTTGAGTAGAAGACTGACTTAGTCAGAGGTGCGGTCCCCAACATTCGGTCGGGTTCAGAGGGGAGGGCAGACAGGAGGGGACCCGCCTGGAGCAGGAGAAAGATGGAGCTGCGAGGAAGACCCGGCTTAGATGCGTGCGGGCGCACCGGCCGGGCGGGCGGGCAGGGCCAGGACGGGTGGAAGAAGTGCCAGGGAGGCCGAGAGTGGAGAAGAGGTTTGGCTCAGCCCTGCATGGAGGGGCCACTTTGGGAGGCAGTGACCTCCCCATCACCAGGGGGTGCAAATCGGGCCTGGGCTCCTCTTGGACTAGGGAACCCCTGGGATCCTCTGCCACCTCAACTGCCTGACATGCC